TAGTACAACAAATGTTCGACGGGATGCATGGAGAGACCCGACCACGGCCCTGGATTGTAACTTTTATGATGCAAAGAGTGGAAATGGCGATAGAGAAATGCTCCCAAATCCCCATTCCTCAAACCCAATTTGACATTCCACCATGGGTGCATAAATCGATGAACCCAATAGAAATGAAATTCTCGCCAGTATGTGATGAGCAGAAACAGGAAAACGGAGTAAATGGGATAAGACCAGAAATCCATATAGACAGGAATCTTCTTATTTGCCCACAACCACATCATTAGACACTGGAGAAGAGACGATTGGAGCCATCCAAGAGTGGTGAACACAACTTCTCGTTGGAGTTGGTCGGAGGAAAAGAACCTCACTCGCCCCGTCGCCTCGTATTGATTGTTCGCATTGTACTTTTTTTCCTTCAGCTTTCCCTTGGCGTAGTCACTTGCATAAGTCATGTAGTGCCAGAATGAGTACAGAATGAATTCACACGCCAAATTGAACGAAATCACCTTTGTTACCCAACCGAGATGCCATTCTTTCGCATCGGGAAACGTTTTCGGGAAAAGGGAGAGCCAGCAGATTATGCAAACAACGATCTCAAGTAGATGTGCAACGTGACAGCCTAGAGCGTAATCGTAGAGTTTCTGTTGCCATCTAGGCCATTTATCATAATTGTGAAGTAGAAGTGTGTTTGACTTGCCCATACCACCATTATGCAATCGGTGAATACCGACCACATTGCGAAGACCGAAGGTCATTTTTGTGTGAAATTATTACCTTTATTGTGAATTAAGAAGTTCTTATCGGCATGTGAGAAAGAAAATGTATGTTGTTCTTATTTATAAAAGGCAAGGGCATGCACGTGTATATGTTTCACGAAAATATCTCGCACAGAATAAGTTCTAGGGGTTATCATATACTTCACGTGGTTTTGAGATGACATTTTTATTTATATCTTTTATTCATATATATAATACTTTTTCAATCGTTTTTCCAATTTAAAATTGAAAAATACAAAATTTCAAAATGTCAAAAAACCGTAAAATTTAATTTAAAAGTCAAGAAAAGAAATTTTGAAGGAAGCTCTGGAACTCCGAAGTCCAATTCTGAACAACTTTTCTAACCCGAGTTTTTCTGCTCCAACATGTCTGTCTCGAGCGAAAGATAAGTGATGTGAAAAACATCTTCTCTCTGTCAAGAACTAGCGAAATTCTCAAGTCCTGAATGTTTTCCTTAAACTCTTCCAGTTTTCCCATTATCCGTCGTAAATACATAATGACTGTCAGTAATAGGACAGAATTGACTAAGAACTTCTCTCAAGCCTCCATACAGCTTTTGCTCTTCTACATAAAGTAGCGGATTACCAATAGATCCCAATCATGACTCAAAATTAATTTTGTTCTAGTTTCTTAACGACTTAACCTTTCTAGACTGGACTCGCAATAAAATACAGCCAAATGGTTAAGAAGCTAGCGCAAAAATTTAGTTTGAGCGCTGAAAGTAGAAATAAGGATCATTTTCGTTGCCACTGTATAATATAGATTTGAAACTTAGCTGTTTACCTCATAAATGAGAGAGTAACAAAAAAAAAGGAAAATTTTCAATACCATTTGAACCAATACCTTTGAGACGTATTGGTATTGCTACATGTTGAATTGCCATATAGAACATTGCAGACTATGAGAACATTTCCAAGAAAAGTATGTTAAAAAGCTGATGAACTTTCACGACTGTGAGAACTGAATACAATGAAAACAATGGGAAAAACCTATCAGCACCCATTTTTAAGGAACATGTGGTTAAAAATATATTTCAATGCATTTGGATTTTTAAATAAATTTTATATTGTTGAAAAATCAGTTGAGAATTTTTTTTGTTATTTTGTTTTTTGACTTTCTGTTTATATATTGTTAATCCCGTAGGCTGTTACAAGTTGAGAATTATGGTGCAGTTTAGATAAGAATGCTGCAATGGAAAGTAATATCTTGTACAAAGTAGGTCGTGGGTCGAACACACGGTTCAAGAGTCATATGGTATAAGTTTCATTACAGTTCCTCTCAATCTTAGCTTACCTTTCTCAAACTTACTTGTTTTCAAAGCTCTTATTATCTGCAGTTCTCACAGTCTGCAGTATTTCTGTACCCAAGCGTCAAAAAATAATCTAGTATCGCCCGATTCATCTAAATTATTAGACTTTTACTCGACTGCAACTACTGTGTAACGACAGTGGAAATCTAGTAACTGGGCCATTATTAGATTTTTTCTAGTTGCAACTATCGATTTATCGCCCGATAATCGATCGATTTAACTATTGCTAGATGCACCTGCAGAGGCATCTAGTTAAAAGTCCCTTTTCCAACTAGTAATCTAGATGGCAACTAGTCGTGTATCGCCCGATTACAGACGAAATGTATCTAAATTTTTCCCATAGGTGATATTTGCTTGCGTATGATAGTCGTTCAATTGATATCACACATGTCTCATAGAAAGAAATGACTCGATGGAAAATTTTAGGATATGGATGGATTTGTAGAAAATGTTGCTGTGGATGACTCCGATCATTTTTGAGCCTAGTCCAAGTCTAGAAAAGTTTTCAAGCTGTCAAGTCCAAGTTGGTCTATCTTTTCGTCGTTAGTTTTTTACTTCATGCATACGTGTAACAGAAAGAAAAGAGTAGAAAAATTGTGTATGTCATGCATGTATCCCGCGGGAAAAAAGGCAGCTACCGATACCACCAGGTGCTACCAGAAATCCAATTGAACTCGATGGAACCCAGAGGAAACCGGTGGAGCCGAGTGGAACCCGATAGAACTCAGTGGAGCTGGGCAGAGCCGTGAATTAAAACTTATAATTATTATAAAAATTATAACTTTTCACAGAAATGAGATAAAGAACTACGGTTTTCACTATTGAATAGCCAAGGCCTTAAGACATGTTTTTATAAGCAGAAATTGGTTTCAAAATGTTCTGCAAGTCCGATTTTCCAAAGGATCTTTGGAAAACCAGCTTCATTCTCAGAAAACTAACATACAATGTTAGCAATTTTTTTTTGCATAAGTAGATAGTCCGGTAGTTACTCTACAAAATTATGTAAGTCCTAGCTCTCCAGCTATCGTCGTTCAGACAGGGCTCGCTTTCCCCAAACACGTGTCTATCTCCGAGTAAACATCTCTGAAAATCTCGAAATGCCATGGAATATAGGTAATCGACTACGCTGAGCATAGTGGCAACATTTGTTTTTTATGGAGAAATGAAAATAACTTCGTCGGAGGCACCGCTTTTTCGCCTGTTACTAGTAAAAATTAAAATCCTTATATCTCGATCAAATCTCATGCTGACTCAAGGAAATTTTCAGGAAAGGCTCAGGACAGTTCATAAAACATAATCGAAGGCGAAAAAGGTGAATGTGAGCTGGGCATTGGCTTAAGGTTTTCCAAAAACCTTCTGAAAAACCTCAGAGCATTAGTGTTCTTCTGGATCACTTTTTCGGCGTGGTCAACAACATATGGCACCTTTTAAGCTTTTCCTGAAAATTTCCTTGAGTCAGCATCAGATTTGATCGAGATATAAGGATTTTGGTTTTTGCTAGTAACAGGCGAAAAACCGCTTTTTCACAACAATGCCTCTCCCGAAGTTATATTCATTTCTACACAAAAACAAATGTTGCCACTATGCTCAGCGTAGTCGATTACCTATAGTCCATGGCATTTTGAGATTCCCAGAGATGTCTCCTCGGAGATAGACACGTGCTCGGGGAAAGCGAGTCCTGCCCGAACGACGGTAGCTAGAGAGCCGGGACTTGCATAATTTCGTAGAGTAACGTCCGAACTATCTACGCATGCGAAAAAAATACTAACTTGTATGTTAGTTTTCTGAGAACGGAGCTGGTTTTCCAAAGATCCTCTGAAAACTCGATCTCTGGAATTTTTTCAAAAGTTGCTTCCGCCTGTCAAAAGTTCTGCTCAAGTCTTGGCTATTGAACAGCGAAAATCGCAGGTCTCTATCTCATTCCTATCAAAAGTTATTCAAAAAGCAACCAGCGGTCTGACCATTTGGAACGGATAGTAATCGATGTGTAGCCATTAGAAAAAGAAAAGATACTTTATTGTAAAGAAAAAATGTTTATGAGTAGAATAATGAACCGTTTTGTTTTCCAATAAAACGTTGTAGTTTTTTTTATTATAGATGGTAATAAATAGTTTTACTCAAATTTCTTCTTTTCTCACTTTAGAAAAAATAACAAACAAAATAGGTATTGATAGTTTTGAGCTTTTTTCATTCATCAACTTCTAATACTTAATTTATTTCTTACTTTTTCAATTTTTCTTTATATTTGTTTTCGAAACACAAAGGGTCATGAAAACCTAAACGAAATTCTTATCTATGACTACTAACGAGGAAACCTTTTTAAGTACCCCGTCACTTTTTCAACGGTTGTCGATGATGTTGATTCCGAGTATGAATAGGGGAGCTGCCATGAGGGCTTCGAAGACTCGGTTTTCTAAATCGGGGCTAAACCGAGATCTAGGTTTTCTACAAAATCGTCTCCTTTAAAGTTAATTTACATTTTTTCTCAGCCAAGAAACACTTTTATTGAAAATAAATGTGATATTTGGAATCAGTATGACAACCTACATCGAATAATGTATAATCTGTTAATTTTACAAATAAAACATGTTTTCACAAAAACTCAGGGAAAGGGAAGGAACTTTTTATCAAACAACATTTTTTCCGAATTCGCGTTCCTTTACTTTTATTCATATCTGACGCATAACAAGACTACATTATGCGAAAATAATCATTTTTTAACTCAAAAGGCAGATGTTCGCCTATTCTATGGAAAACTGCCCACTGTATAGCATTAGTCCTATTGATTTCCAGTTCTTCTTTAGCAACGTTCGTGTATCCTGAATGAATGCTAATGGTCTGCTTTTCCCGCATTCTGAAATTATTTTACATCCATAAACATGGACACCGTATAATTGCTAATATCTGCGTCATTATCCCAATAACACATAAACTTCAACATCACTAGCGTAACCGAATCCTCGCCTCGGAAACGACTGCACGCCCTCCTCCGTAGTATCAACAAAACATCGCGGAAACCCAACACAAAACTGACGCATATCAGCTTCCAAACCCATAACCAAATCAGCATCAAGATAACGA